CGTTCCGGGTCTCATACAAATCTGGGTTCCCCTCGGTTACGACAGAATGGTGTTACCCAGCGTAAAATAGCAAAGACTTTTAAGTTATCATCATCAACCATGCATAACATCATCAAAAGATTCAGAGAATCTGGAACAATCGCTGTGCGTAAGGGTCACCGCCGTAAAACTCTACTGGATGCTCGTGATCTCCGGGCCCTTAAACGTCACTGCACCTTAAACAGGAATGCTACTGTCAAGGAAATAACAGAATGGGCTCAGGAATACTTCCAGAAAGCATTGTCAGTGAACACAATCCACCGTGCCATCCGCCGTTGCCAGCTGAAACTCTACAGTGCAAAGAGGAAGCCATTTCTAAGCAAGCTCCACAAGCTCAGACGTTTGCACTGGGCCAGGGGTCATTTAAAATGGAGTGTGGCAAAATGGAAAACTGTTCTGTGGTTAGATGAGTCACAATTTGAAGTTCTTTATGGAACACTGGGACGCCATGTCATCCGGACCAAAGAGGACAAGGATAGCCCAAGTTGTTATCAACGCTCCGTTCAGAAGCCTGCATCACTGATGGGATGGGGTTGCATGAGCGCTTGTGGCATGGGCAGTTTGCATGTCTGGCATGTCATGGAAAGGCACCAATAATGCAGAGAACTATGTTCAGGTTCTAGAACAACATATGCTTCCATCTAGACGTCATCTCTTTCAGGGAAGACCCTGCATTTTTCAACACGATAATGCCAGACCACATTCTGCAGCAATCACAACATCATGGCTACGTAGAAGGATCCGGGTACTGAAATGGCCAGCCTGCAGTCCAGATCTTTCACCTATAGAGAACATTTGGCGCATCATAAAGAGGAAGGTGCGACAAAGAAGGCCCAAGACGTTTGAACAGTTAGAGGCCTGTATTAGATATGAACGGGAGAGTATCCCTATTTCTAAACTTGACAAACTGGTCTCCTCTGTCCCCAGACGTCTGTTGAGTGTTGTAAGAAGAAGGGGGGATGCCACACAGTGGTAAAAATGGACTTGTCCCAACTTTTTGGGGATTTGTTGACGCCATGAAATTTGGAAACAACAGATTTTTCCCTTAAAATGATACATTCTCTCAGTTTAAACTTTTGATCTGTGATTTGTGTTCTATTCTGAATAAAACATTAGATGTTGGCACCTCCACATCATTGCATTCAGTTTTGATTCACAATTTGTTTAGTGTCCCAACTTTGTTGGAATCCAGTTTGTATGAATATTTCTGTTCAGTGCCCTGAGATGACTTATGTTGTGACTTGGCGCTATATAAATAAACTGAAATTAATCGAAAACCATTTAGGCATTTATAAGTCCACATAAGAGTTTTAAAACCAATGCTGTAATGCACAGGGAGCCAATGGAATGAGGACAGAACTGGTGAAATGTGCTTAGATTCACATGTTCCAGTCAAGAAACGGGCAGCAGCATTTTTAACATGTTGGAGGTGCAAGGAGGCCTGACTAATCCCAGTGCTGAATGATGATAAAAGAAAGGGTTATTCTCTCCAGGTCATGTCTTGACAAAACAGCTAAAAACTAAAGTCAACCACAAATAAATATTTACAACAAGTAAGACAGGTTCTGAAGAGCTAAATGAATTGTAAAAACAAAGTCCGAGCCATCAACATGTATGCCCTGTCAATAATTAAATATCCTGCTGGTATAATAGGCTTGCCAAAGGAGATAAAAGCGTCTGACATCAAGACATGAAAGCTTCTCACAATGCATGGAAGGTTTCACCCCAAGTCCAGCAACCCGAAATATTAAGAGAAAGGAGGGAGGTAGAGGACTAGGGAGAATCTGAGTCACTATAAAAGATGATACAACTATGATCCTGGAGTACAAGAAAAAAAAACTCCATTGATGAACTGATGAGTTAATGTCTCAGGCAGCAGTCACTCAACATGGAAAGATAAGCCTCTGAACGACATGTAACACTGGCAGAGTGAGGAGGTTAGTGATATCAACAAATCCTATCAGTAGAGGACTGAAGGACAGCACAGAGGCACTAATCATGGCAGCACAAGTACAATAGAAGCTGGTACCACACCAGCTAGAACCATGCAGGCTGTGCAAAGTCACCCATGATGCCCTGCACATGGGCCCCATAAACAAGTGGCTGGAAAAGTGAACAAGGGACGTCTGTGCCAAGTATGGACTGGAGATCCCACAGTT